CTGGGGAAGAGTCGAGAAGACAAAAAAGAAAAAGAGTCATAAATATGTCTTTTCTTACGAGAGGAGGAGGAACAACACGTACCCTCGTGGCTCCTGGGGCTCTTTGTAGTAAATTCCTTACCCGGAACCCTCCCCTTCACCTCCCAACCTGGAGCCTGCACCTGCTCTTGTTCTCTCACAACCGCCCCCAGGTTATCCAGGGCTCTCCAGAGAGTGGCACCAGCAGGGCGCACATGGGTGTGCAGGCGGGCAGACACAAGCACACACACACACACACACACACACACACGCACAGATGTTTTTAGACACTGCCCACACCAGGTAGGGGCTGGCACTGGGACTTCCACAGGACAAGCCAGAAGGAAGCAGCGGCACCTGGAGGCAGAACTTCTCCTTCCCTAGGGCGCCTGGGTCATTACTTAAGGTCTTCACCTGCTTGGACAAGGCCCACCCACACAACGAAAGTCACGTGCCCGACTCAGAGTCTACAGACCTACACGCCGATCAATCCACAGAACAGCTCCACAGTGACATCTAGCTCGTGACAGATGGGCCGGCCAAGTTGACACAAAAAGCTACCCAACATGCACCATGTTGCCATTTACCATTTTCACGCCTATTTTTTAAACAGGATTTCTGCTTCCAGGAAGTCCCCCTCCCATCAAGAAGCTGGTGTGTACCACAGCGCACGGCTCTGCTCAGTGGCCACCGGATGTCCACTAAATGACCAAGTGGCCCAATCACCTGACTATGTACATGGCCAACCTTTTTCAACAAGCACATCGAAGGTCTCAGGAAGAAGATTCTAGAAAAGGCAGGCAGCTCTGTGCTGCCCCGCGTGCCTGCCGTCACGTCTGAACTGTGTGGGGAAGAATGACGCAGGGAAGCAGCAGAACTCAGCATCAACCAACAACCCCGGGCTAAGTGAATCAGCCCATCGCAAGACCTGGGGAGCAGAAGAGAAGCAGAGAGCATTCCCTGGAGAGAAGGGGATTTTCCCCAGGAACACGGCTGTCCACACAACCGTCTAGCCACCCCACCAGACCAGGAGCTCCCGGGAGGTGAGGCCTCCCATGCAGCAGGTGCAGCGCCGGCCAGCCTGCTGGACGTACCCACCCAGGCTCTTCGCCTGCCCCTCTCTCCTGGAAGAACACCCATGTTCCCCACATCCTCTGCAGCCAGGGGCAGTCACGTGGCCGCTCAGGACCACTGACACAGGAGGAGGAGCTGGCGGGGGCGGGGGATTCTGGGAGGGGTCTTCTTCGATCAAGCGATGGAAGCGAGTGCCAGCTGGGTGGACATCCGACGCACAGAGCCCGGCTGACAGCGGGGACGAAGCCTGGTGAGTGCGTCATGCCCGTGAAGCAGGGACGGGGGCAGAGTGTCCCCACCTGCAATGACTTCCCTGAGCTGCTGAGCTCCACAGGGACCCCCACCACGCACAGCAGGACTGGGTGAGACCTTGAACACACACGGGAACCCGCTCCTCCTCACCCCTGCAGCCCCTCCCACCCGCCAAGCACACGCCCTGCCGCCGGCCCTGCACGCGCCGGCCCTCCGCCTGCTGTCCCTGTCCTCCTCGTGCTGGCCCTCCGCCTGCTGTCCCTGTCCTCCTCCTTCCCCACCCGTGGGTCATATGATCACTGAGACACCCTGGCCAGCGGCACCATGTACAGGGACGGAACTGGTGCCATCTGAGCCACTGGACACAGGCCACGTGTGGCAACGGTGCACCTGTGAGGTGGCCGCTGTGCCTGCAATATTAGGCCATTGTGTAATATTAACTCGTGTGAATTTCAATACCCGCATTTGGTGATGCCACTGACCCCATGGTGCTACGAAGCAGTGGTTTTCTCTCTGCCACGGCCCACACTGCAGTCCACACCCCCTTCCCTTAGCGCGAGATTAGACGAGTTCAGGGCGGTGCGGCCGTAGACCCTTACTACGTTCTAATGCACTTCCCACTCCCCAACAGGCCGTGAAGTACAAACCTATCAGTGCTATGTCTCTTCTTTCTAAGCAAGCTTCATTTAAACAGACGCTCAGAGCCCACAGCTGCGCCTGGCACAGCGTGCACTCAACTGATAGCCAGGATTGGATGCACGAGGAAGGAAATGAAAGAGGGGCCCACCCCGTCTCTAGGTCAAACGTCTCCGTCTCTGTAAGTTTCCCGAAGTCACACCAACAGCGGGGGTGCCTGGTCAGCCAACAGCCTCGGACCCAAACCCCGCATTCACGCTTCTGTCTGTGACCACGGGTGTGTGGGCCAGATTTCTGCGTTACCCAGTCTACAGAAATGGAAAGACGTCTTGAAAACAGAAGGGCGTAGCTTGTATTCAGTAGGTACTCAAAGTAAGGATTGCCAAAGGAAATTTCCGAGTAGGCGGGATCAGATGGGGGCATGGTGAGGGGGACCCCTGCTTTTCTAAAATCCCTGGCCGCCTTCTGCCACTTTCCGCTTTCCCCACCAACAACGCAGGGTCCGGAGTCGGAACATTCCAGACGACAAGTGCTCATGTGGCTGGGAGAGCTGCTGTCCTGCACACTGTATGGGGTGGGCTTTTCCACTCTGCTTGTTTAGATTCTCCAGCAAGAAACGGCATTAGCAATCTTGAGATAATTACCACTGTAATTCACCCGACCTGGGACCGCTGTGCTAATTCAATTTTCAGGATAAAATTATACCAGATCCGAAGGAAACTCGGACTTCCTGCACGCTTCCAGTTTGTCCACCCGAATTCCTTCTGTGAAACAGGAGACTCCCCGGACCCCAGCCCCACCGCACAAACACCCATCCGCTTAAGCCAGGGGCCAGGGCGCTGTCTCTCACTGGTGTGGTTTTAAAGTGTCATCCTTACCTTCCCAAAACTGCCTTTGCCAATAGCGCGCAGAATCTGAAAGTGGTCAAAATTGACTGCAAGAGAAAAACAAGAAGGACGTCAGATCTTCCAAACCTCATGTCGCTCCCGCAACGTCCTTACCCCCGGCCCCGCCCACTGTGTCCTCACGTCAGCCTGGCAGCGACTCCACCAGGGCCGAGAGGGACGGGCCAGCACCCCCACCTTAGCCCCACACACGCCCCGCTCCACCCGCGCCTCCCCACCTCCATCCCTACACCACCAGGGACCAACCCCAGGCAGCCCTCCACTAAGGCCTGTGAACACCTGTCCATCCACCCCCGCCACGTGCCCCCTCCCTTACCCCTGCAGCCCCCCTGCACCCCAGCCCATCCTGCACCTGCGACTTTCCTCTTCTCGGGGCTCCCAAGGCTCCCGCCGCACCTGCCCTGTGTGGTGTTGCCAGCCTCGGCCACAGCCATGGGCGGCTCACACCTCCTCGCCTCCAAAGCCACGTTGAACTCATCAGGTTGGAATCAGAGCCCTGGGTGAGTGGTGTCAAGGCCCAGGACTCAGCCTCCACACCCTTCTCGCCCACGCCACACCCAGTCCTACACAGCTTAGTCCACTTCGCCATCTCTCACCTCTGTCCACCGCGGGGCACCCCTCCCGTCTGACCCCAGCTCCCACCACCTGCTCTGCCCTGGGGGGCATGAGTGACACACAGGGGGACCTCCTCCTCCCTCACCCCCTCCACTGCTCCCAGCGGAAACAGCCGACTCCTCCCCAGGCTGAGAAGCCCCTGCCACACCTCCCACCATGCTGTCCTGCACGCACAGAGCTGAGTCATGTTCGGTTTCTCCCTGAGCCCAGAGCAGCCCTTCCCCGGGCCCCACGCCGGCTGCCCAGAGAAGGTGCGGGTGGCATCACACACCCTCCTCGCCCAGAGGGACACCTCTGCTATAACACATTGCTGGGTGCCACTGCCTACACCCTTGGACGTGGTCAAAGATCGCATCTCCCTGCAGGGCTCCCAGCTCCCTGGGGCCAAGGGCCTTGCTGGTGTTCGGGGATGACACCCCCAGCACCCAGCACACAGTCAGTATTCGATCAACAAACACCCACAGAAGGGAAGGAAGACTGGATGAATGGATCACTGTGGGGTGCTGGAGGTGACTGGTTTTCCCTGGTCAGTGCTCACAGCCCCTCGGGGACCACCTGCGCCTGCAGTACATCTTCCCCATCCTTGGTTCCTCTGGGACGAGACACAGGTCTCATCCACGCTCATATCCCGAGCTGAGAGAGTCCACCCCTCATTGGTGTCCATTCCTGAGGGCCTGGGCCAGTGCTGGGCCAAGTGTTCAGTGGTCAGTTCCCCTACGCTCTGCCTGGCACAGAGCAGGCAACCGGCATTTGCCACCCGGAGCTACAATCCCTTCTCTTAGCCTCATTGTAAACCATTTCGTTTTCTGGTTGATGAATATGCTTCGTACAGCTCCCCGGCCTCTTCCTTGCCCGACTCACTCTGCACTCTTATCAGCAAAAACACTCGGTCCGCACGCATCCAGGAGACCCCACAAATGTACTACACAGCCGTCACTTCGGGTTAGGAGCCGATTTGGCTGCCGGAGGAAATGTGGAATCCAGGATAAGAAACCATCAAAGACGGTTCCAGCAGGAGGATAAGAGCTGGCTCTCAGTTCCTCGAAAGCAAAGACTGTCGGAGACCTAAGACGCCCCCAGGGCCTCCCAGCACAGCCGGAACAGCAGCACCCACTGGGTGGCTCCGACAACAGAAACTCATCGCCTCGGGGCTCTGGAGGCGGCCAGTCCAAAGTCAAGGTGGCTGCGGGCTCTGTTCCCACTGAGGGCTCTCGGCAAGGGCCCCTCTTGTGACATCGAGACCCTGGTAGCTGCACGTGGTCCTGGGCGCTGTGTCACTCCAGCCTCTGCCTGCCCTCCCCGGTGTGTCCGCTCTGTTCCAGTGAACACCGGGAAGACCCTTCAACTGACCACATCACTGTAAGAGGCCCCCTTGCGGTCCTGGGGATGCAGTATTTCCCCACCTAGTGATTCCCCATTCAGCAGCCGCACGCGACCTGACTCAGCCAAGCTGACACTGGACTAAGCACGTGTGGACGTCTGCGTCTCTCTCCGTGTCCATCTCTGCCACAGGAAACTGCTCAAGCGACACCAGACAACTGCACCCAGCACAGGGCTCTCAGCCCGGGGGTCCCCCTGAAGCCTTCCCCTGCCATCTGGCAACCAGCCAATCCCCAGGTGCACGAGAGCGCCTGGCCCAGAGCGGCAGGGCCAACCTGAAGAGCCGAAGGGTGCCGGAGCTTGCTGGGGCGAGCCGCCGAGCTTGGCAAGGCTTTGGTGTTGTGGACGGTGGGCTGGAGGGGGAGAGAGGGGGCTAGTTCCTAGCTCAGAGCCACACAGCTAGTTTCCTCGGTTGCATAACAAATGATCACAATTTTAGGAGCTTAAAGCCACACCCATGTATTAGCTCCTTGTTCCATAGGTCAAAAATCTGGGTAGATCGCGTGGGTTCAAGGTGCTGCCCGGGCTGCTCTTACTGGACATCCTGGGAAGGGTCTGCTTCCCCACCCTTACAGCTCTTGGCAGAATTCAACTCCAGGTCTGTAGGACCGAGGTCTCCGCACCGGCCGTGGGCTGTGTATCTCGGCATCTGGAGGTGTCCCTGGAGTGGTGCGCCCCTCCTCCTGTTCCAGCCTCGCTCTCTCCTCTCCTGCTGTCAGCTGGAGAAAGTGCCCTGCTTTTCCAGGGTTTGTGTCCACCTGCAGAACCTCCTCTTTGCGATGCAATGTCACATGAGCAGAGGAGTGATTCGGGGGTGAGGACCATGGGCCTTGGTGACATCCTGCCTCCTCCAGGGCTCCCTACAGGATGAGTTTGTTGTTAGGAGCTCCAAAGAGCAGGAGTGTGTTTGAAAACTCACACACACACACATGCACATGCACATGTATACACACATGCACACACACACTCTTGTTCCCTTATAAGCCTAACACAAACCACAATGGTGAGACAAGACTCATTGCAAAACCCTTATCTATGGCCTCTGTAGCCCTTTAGGGTCAAAAGGGCTTCTCTTTATTTTATATCTATTTCTGATTTCTCATGGGTTGGCAGGGGTGCCTCTATCCCAGCCCTAGACCAGAAGCCAACCAAACCTGGCTCCAGGAGTGCAGGCTGTGTCTGCTTGGTGGGTGCACGAAAGCAGGATGCTCAGGAGGCCTTGGGCTGGCAGAGAAGGGAAGGGCGCCCTCCTTCCGCACAGAGCCGGGGCTGCAGGGCTGCAGAGCCGCACGGGGTGCACGGCTCTCACTGAGCACAGAGAATTCTGTCTGCTCAGGCGTCTGGTGATCTTAGGACAGTCACAGGTCGGGGATCAGAGGCATTTCGCTGTGAGACAGTGCAAGTGTGTCACTTAGGGAAGTCGGCTTGATTTTCCACGCTGCGCTGTGTAACAGCTCCCCTGGCCTCCAAGCTGTGCCAGGCATTTTGGCAGAACCAGGACACGAGAGAGCCCCTCCTTGAGTAACGGAGTGGGGTTACCCCACCTCCCCCTTCTCCCTCCCTGTAAAGTACAGCTCACAGGGCGCTGTTAACATCCAAGGAGACCACACATGGGAACAGCCCACCATGGACCAAGAGAGCAGTCACAGGAAGTCAGGGGTGGGGCTGATGGTGACGCAGACAAAGGTGAAAGGCTGGTGGTGGTGAGGAGGCTGAGGAGGAGGATGGTGGTGATGATGGCTGCTGTGCAGATGATGGTGATGGTGGTGGTTGCTCTATGGATGATGGTGATGACAACAGTTGTTATATGGATAATGGTGATGACAACAGTTGTTATATGGACAATGGTGATGACAACAGTTATATGGATAATGGTGATGGCTGCTACATGGATGATGGTGATGGTGATGGTGATGATGATGGTTGCTCTATGGATGATGGTGATGATGATGGTTGTTATATGGATGATGGTGATGGGGATGATGGTGATGGTGATGGTTGCTATATGGATGGTGGTGATGGTGATGGTGATGGTGACGGTGATGGTTGCTCTATGGATGATGGTGATGGTGATGGTTGCTACATGGATGATGGTGATGACAACAGTTGCCCTATGGATGATGGTGATGACGATGGTTGCTACATGGATGATGGTGATGACGATGGTTGCTATATGGATGATGGTGATGGGATGATGATGGCTGCTATCAGAACAGTGGTGATGATCTTGCTATGAGGATGATGTTGGGGTTGCTACGAGCACTCTGGTGGTGATGACGGGTGCTATGCAGATGATAGGGATGATGACAGCTGCTATGGATTGAACTGTGTCCCCTCAAAGTTCTGTGTGGATCCTAACTCCTAGTACCTGAGAATGAGACTGAATTTGGAGACAGGGTGTTAAGGAGGTGACTGAAGAGCAACATCTCATTAGGATGGGGCTCTTGGTGCTCTTCTAAGAAGAGATGAGGACACAGAGGGGTGACCATGTGAGGACACAAGAAGACAGCTGCCCACAAGCCGAGCACAGGACTCACAGGGGGAATTGCTTCTGCCAACAGCAAAAAGTCTGGGTGTGGCCAGGGAGGAAAAGAGGCAAGGGCCAATGGGCTCCGGTCCCCAGCGTGAGAGCTGGAGAGACATCACAGGGAAGGCCCCGCGGGGGCAGAGCTCACAGGAGAAGGAGGCCGATCTCCCTCCAGGGACGATGGTGAGTCTGGTCCATGGCCCGCTGAACGTAAGCTACCTATGGGGATACAGGCGAGAAGGGGCCAGGCTTTGGGCCCAGCAGCCAGCAGTGGGGAAAACAGACAAGCTGGTCCAGGCAGGGGTAAGGACAGCCCTGAGAGGACACCAGCAGCTGGGGGTGGACAACAGGGAAGTCAGGAGGAGGAGGTGCGCTCAGAGAAGTGGGAGAGCATCAGGGGACACCATAGTACCCAAGGGAGAAACGTGTGGCAGGGGAGGGGTCCACAGAGCCCCAGGCATAGGCAGCACAGCCTCCCTAGTGGGAGCCAGGACCTGCATGCAGTAG